CCACCACCACCTCCCCCCTCGCCTACTGCGACCTGAACGCCTTCATTGAGCTGCAGAGCTCGAGCACCACCCGCCAGTGTCTTCTGCTGCCGCTGACGCTGAAGAACGTCTTTGGCTTCATCGTCGACTGCGTCGTCTGCCTGCTGAAGGAGATTCTCGCCCTCAATCCGCTGGAGCAGGACCTCCTGATCGGCCACCTGGTGGTCCTGTCGCAGTACAAGTGGCCCTACTACTACGAGACCTTCTCCTGTATGATGGAGAAGTTGGCGGCCCGGTCCGCTCAATCTGCTGCCGGAAACTCCTCAGTGAACAGCGGCAAGTTCGCCTACCCCTTCTTCACCAACTACGTCTTCAACGGCGACGTCATCGAGGCGATGATGGCGCAGGTAGAGCTGCCCGGCTTTACCCTGGAACTGGCCCCACCCGCCCCGGTCGACCCCAATCAGCCGCTCAATTTGCACTCGACGAGGGGGGCGTCGAGGACCTATCGCGAGGACATCACCGCGCTCATTCACCGGCAGATGGAACGCGCCGTGGAGGGCGGGAGCATGCCGGTGGAGTTCTTTCGGGACTTTCTGCTCTTTCAAATAAAGCCCTACCTGGTGGAGGTGTACAAGTTGAACCAGAACAAGTAAGCATCCCATGACCAGTGATACTCATTCAAACCTTTTTGGCACACTTTTATTAACCGGTTATTTCTTTCTTTTGCCTGTTCTGTTTTCTGTCTGTCTGTCTGTCTGTCGTCTGTCCATGTTACTCTATGACAACTAACACTCCTAATCTAACCCACACACCCACCTTAACCTTGACTGAACACTCACGTCTTTATGCATGATTTATTTATTTCTGTTGAACATTCCACCACCACCACANCTAACACTCCTAATCTAACCCACACACCCACCTTAACCTTGACTGAACACCCACGTCTTTATGCATGATTTATTTATTTCTGTTAAACATTCCACCACCACCACCTTTTAACCCCCCTCCGTTTAACTCCTTCTACAATGCTCGCTCAATGCGTCTCACTAACCGCCTGACTGACTGACGAATGCGCTCCAACGCCTGCGTCTCTTGCACCGCCCGTTGCGCGTAGTCGGCAGTTCTATATTGACCAACTCTTGTGATCTGCTGACGGAGAAGGTACAGCGCGTAGGCGCTGTCCAGTCGCAGCGGCGCCCGCTGTCTGCTAATAAAGTTGTTGTCCTCCTCCTCGTTTCCGGCCAGCAACTGTGCCCGTGTCTGTCCCTCCAGTGCCACCGCCTCACTCAGCAGCTCAGCCTGACTGATGGTGTGGTTTTTGTTGCCCTCCATCAGCAGCACTACTTTTGCAATGTCCACCTCCTCGTGAATGCGTCGCTCGTAGTAGGCCATCCGCCGCAGCGTCTCGTGAAGTGAGTGGAAGTTCAGTCGAGGACAGCTTTTGGGCTGTGCCTGACAGCGGGCGAGGGAGGCTACCAGGTTGCCGTACATTGTCAGCTCCAGGTTCAGCATTGAGGCACCTTCTGGCAGCTGATGATCATTATTTTCTTCCATTTGCTGTACCGTCGCTCTGATCAGCTGCTCGCCGTGCTCAATCAGCTGGTCGACATTGAGCTGACGTCGAGGTGTTTGTTGACCAGCTGCTGAGGATGATGATGATGATGCTTTTTCGGGCTTCAGTGCTAAAGTTTGTGGTAAGAAGAAGTTTTTTTGTTGGAAGCATTGTACCAAAACTAACCTTTATTTTGTCTTCGGATTTTGTACAGTTTGATCTTCACCTTCTTGGTGGCGCAGTGCACACTGGCGGCCGCCAGGGCCGACAGAATCAGCAGTTGGAGTGCGTTCATGCTGCGAGTTATGATGTGCTTGTTGTGGCCTGTGTGAAACGGCCAACTCCGCATCTGAAGATGCCCTCTGCAATCTCTACCGCCACATTAGTAATGGCTCGACTTTGAGCGGTGAACAATGAAAATCAGTCTACAGTTTGAAATCACTCTCATTTCTCCGGCGACTCTTCACCTCTTTCTTTCGCCCCCTGTTTGGAAAAACCTGTTTCCAGAGAGGCTTTGTGTGCTGTCTAGGCCACTTTTGCTTTCACTGTGAGCGACTTTTTAACAGCACACAGAAGTGGACACACTTCCTCAAGTTTTGACAGAAGTGGACGAATTTAAAGGGGAGGCTATTGAAATTGAAATTTGTTTGCGTATGTCATTGAAATGATTAAAAGGATTAATTTAAATGAGGAGGAGGAAAGCAAATAAATCTTTAGCACAACTTGACATTTTTTCTTTTGTCGTGTCAAGTGTCGGTAGATCGGTCAAGTGAGGTCACTGAAAAAAAGTCAACTTGAACAAAACTTTTTAAACTGAATTTCAGTTTCGGTGACACTAATTGCCCAATTTATCCGTCTACTTGTTGCTTCCTTTATTGCTCAAAAATTGCCGTTTATCGTTTCTCCACCTTTAAAATGATATCCTTTGGTGTGATAAAGTTGGCCTGGTAGTACAGCTCCACTGGAATCTGTTTGGTGATGGTAAAAGCTGTAAAAATGCTTTGAATAAAATAAAGTAAAAATGACTGTACCTTTGTCCGGTCACAGGGTGAGAGCTTGTAGAGCCGTACAGTGTGCAGCAGGGCCAGTTTGACCTCTCTCAGCGCCAGCGACATTGCCACGCACGAGCGTGGCCCACCTCCGAAGGGAAGGTAGCTGTAGCGGTGAAAGGAAGGGGGTGCCTTGTCACCGGCGGCTGTTGTTGGCAGAAAGCGCTCCGGCTTGAAGATTTCCGGCTGCTCAAACTGCTCCTCGTCGCGGTGCATCGAGTAGATTGGGATGTGCACTACATCGCCCTTCTTCACGTGGATGCTGTAATGGGTCGACTGAAGGAGGGTGTCCTCACTTGCCTGGCGCTCGGTGGCCGTCGCCGGCGCATACAGGCGCAACGTCTCATCGACCACAGCGGAGAGATAGGCGAATCGAGGCAGATCTTCGAAGGTGATCAGCTCGACTACATTGGCAGCCATTTGAGGACGTTCTGCCGCCAGTTGAGCGGTGACTGAAATGATCTCCTCGTGGAGTTTCTCCTGCGCCTGAGGATGCAGCGCCAGGAGGTAGGCAGCCATGCACATGGTGCTAGAGCTGGTTTCGTAGCCGGCGAGGAAAAAGAGGATGCACTGGCTGACCATTTCATCGGTGCTCATGTGCTTAGGGGATGATTTTTTGCCCATCTTCGGTTGCTCATTACCTTCATCATTTTTATTTGCTTGCTGCTGCCGTCGACCTTCCTCCTCTGCCTCGAGAAGCAACTCCAGAAAGCTGCTGCTGCTGGTGGTCGTTTTGGGTGTTCCCAATGTGGCAGCATCAGCCAGTTCCCCNACCATTTCATCGGTGCTCATGTGCTTAGGGGACGATTTTTTGCCCATCTTTGGTTGCTCATTATCTTCATCATTTTTATTTGCTTGCTGCTGCCGTCGACCTTCCTCCTCTGCCTCGAGAAGCAACTCCAGAAAGCTGCTGCTGCTGCTGGTGGTCGTTTTGGGTGTTCCCAATGTGGCAGCATCAGCCAGTTCCCTCTTTTTCTGTGAGATAATCTCTTCGGCAAAATGGCGGAAAAAGTCGGTAATATCGCCTCGGTAGCGAATGCCCAACTTCTCCGCCACACCGGGCATCAGAATGATGGCCATGATGCTGATGAAGGTAGTCACTGACATGTCATTCTGAAAGGACTTTTTTGCGTAAACTATGATAGGGTTGGTCGGGTCGGCCAGTGAGTCTACTTTCACGCCAAAAGCCACGTGAATGATGGTCTCCATGGCCATGGCGCCGTACAGCCGTTTCATGTCTATTGCCTCGCCACTTTCCTCCACTGCACTGCTAAAGTTGTCAATCAGTTTGCCCAGGGCGGAGTCGATGCGTGGCTTCATTCGCCGAAGACTGGCCGCACTGAA